TATTTATTCTTGTATCTCTATTTCTCTTAACTTTTCCTCCCTTTAATTATTTACCAACTAATCACCACGCATATCAAATTAATTAATCATTCATACTTTCCTTAAGCCACTACCTTATACGACCCCATATACAAAATTTAATCCAATACCTAGCCTTCAATATTTATCATATAATTTCATTCAAACATTTAAAATCTGAAAATTAAAGATTTGACAAAAAAAAAAAGCACTAAAATTCCAGAGTATTGAATTGTGGCACCAGTTTCTGTACATGAAAAACCGTCACCAAAATCATCGACAAAATAACACTTTTCTAGGCAAAAATTCAAAAACAGCACTTGTATTACAATAGCTCAAAATTTGTTTTAAAAAATGGAGAATTCTAATCTCAAATCCTTAATTTAAGTGTTTAGCATCATATAATCACAAGAAAATCAAAGAATATGTCTTTATTTCACACACTCATTTCAAAGTTCCACTTTCTTCAACTCCAATTTTCAAATAATATTTCTTTGCTATATTCTTATAACCTCGAATGCACATCAATAACACCTAATTCTTGCTAACTTTGAATTTTTTTTAAAAAAATTCCATAAACCCTAAAAGAAATAATTTCACATTCTTATATTTATCTCTCTAAATTAGAGGAAAGATTTAAGAAATTGAGAACCTAACCTTGTTAAATTGGAACTTACCTCTTCCGTCTGTTTTCTTTTTCACTTCCTTTTTACATTTCTTCATTTTTCTTCTATGGTTTCATTCTCTGCTTCTCCCTTCGGTTTTTGCCTCCCCTCCCCCCCAAAATGAGGAGTAAATTGTTTCAATAATAACTCAACTTCATCATGGTCACGATTTACTCACTGAACTTTAAAATATTTCATAGTGCTCACTGAACTTTGTCCGTTTGCACTCCGTCCATCACCCTCAAAAACTCGTTACCTTATTCGCTTACATGGCTAACGAAATCTAACGTGACAAGTTATAGCCGTTAAAAAATTACAAATCAGCCAAATCATTGTTTCATTACTCATCCAACTTATATGTGGTCACAGTTTACTCATCGAACTTAAAATTGCTTCACAATGGTCACTTATCTTTGAGATGTTGTACTCCATTCATCATCCGTCATATTTTGTTCCCTTCATTTCTAATGCTCGCACAAGCATTCCACGTTGTACGTTATACATGTTAAAAAAATTGCAACTTAACTCACCAAAATCACTATATGTGAAACGTGACTTCCACGGCCCCCATCAACATCTTTAAAATCCAATAAAGCGTCCCTAATAATTTTTTTAGAAATATCATTTTTTAATTCAAATATTTACTGTGCAAAAAATATGTTTTAATTTGAAGGTGAAACTTTGAATCATTACTTGCTTGGTTGGAATGTTTACCATATGTGAAACATGACTTCCACACTTCATAAACTTTTTTAAAATTCAATAAAGCGTACTCAAACAAGTTATGCTTCAGAGTTTCAGTTTCAGATTAAAAACTATTTTTTTGCACAATAAACTTCGAATTAGAAAAATGATATTTCTAAAAGAATCAATGATGACGCTTTATTGAGTTTTAAAGAAGTTGATGGGGCCTTGGAAGTCACGTTTCACATATGGTATTTTTGTGAGTTAAATTTTGTTGAGTTGCAATTTTTTTAACATCTGTAACTTACCATGTGGATTTTTTGTTCGAACATTAAGAATGAAGGTAACAAAATATGGCGGATGAAGAATGGATTGCAACATCTCAAATATGAGTGATCATTGGGAAGCATTTTGAAGTTTGATGAGTAAACTGTGACCAAATATAAGTTGGATGAGTAATGAAATAATGATTTGGCTGAATTGTCATTTTTTAACGACCGTAACTTGCCACATCAGATTTTCGTTAGCCACGTTAGCGAATAAAGTAACGATTTTTTTAGGGTGATGAATGAAGTGTAAATGGACAAAGTTCAGTGAGCACTATGAAACACTTTAAAATTTAGTGAGCAAACCGTGACCATGATTAAGTTGAGTGATTATTGAAATAATTTACTCAAAAATGAAAAAGTGAATGAATATGTTTAAAGTTAAATGGATAACTATTGATTAATTGCAAGTTAAGTCACCCCTCTTCATACAAGATAACATCTAATCCTTAATATTTCAATAATAGATACTAAATCCCTAGATTTCTTTATTATATCATTTCTAGCTTTCAAATACTTGTAATTAAAATTTAAGTCCCATGAAAATTATTTGTTCAACTCAAGTCCTTATTGACTTTGACTTTGACCAAATACTTTTCTTGATTTTGATTAAAAATGAGTGGAGTGTAACAGTATATCCCCTTTCAATTGAAATGCCATTTTGGGATAACATATCAAGAACACTCAGCCAGCATGAAAAAGCCTCTCCATAACCAGCCTATTCTAATGGCCACCTGGATTCATTAAATCTGCCACATTAGCAAGACAATTCTCATACAAAGGCGTGGTTGGTAAGAAATAATATGCACGAGAAGCAAGGGAGAGGTGAAGGAAGTGATACTATACCATCCCGAACCCACGTACCCCATTTCAGATAAGTTTAAGATCACATAAAGACCACATAATATACTTTAACATGCATTAATGAACAATGTAAAACATTTCCCACATAATATGTAAGTTGATATGGGTGTCAGGTTTGTGATAATGCACAAAACCTACTTAGCAACAAGCTCTTGGCTAAATGAATCAATTCTGAAATGAAACCCATCATGAATTTTTAGGTTGGCATATAGCACCACATGACAATTTTTTATCCACCCTTTTTGACCCCTCCAAACAGGAGAGGATTGTTGATTGAGGTCATCTCATAGATTTTGAGGTAGGTGGAACACACGAATATTATACATCAAAATTAGTTTTACTGCTGCTTTGACAAGAACATTATTCCCCTCCAAAGATTCTCTTCTTGTGTTGCCCAATGAACGATGGCAGACAAAGATATTTACTGTGTGCTTTTATGTGTTCGAGTCCAAAGGAATCCAAGAAATACATTGTGTGGCCTTGGTGTGTTTGGCTAAATATCATGGCTGACTTCAACATGTTAACTATTTTTACCCGAAGCCAACTCATATGTTTTCAAAATTCCTCTAGCAGCCTAAATGTCATCTTGAGACACCAAATAAAAGATGAACAAAGTTTCTTGTACATAAGTTTTTGACATAATGGATGACAGATACACAAGTGTATACACTGCATTGGCAACCACAAAACTATTTTTTGTCCAAAGCCCAATAAATGCTTGCCACTTGCTATATGTACATTCCTCCTGTACATGTAGCAAAGTTCATATAAGATTATACTATTGTTAATGAAAAATAGACCGCTCAATCATAGGCCATTTTGCAAACAACTAAACCCTCTGATAAGTGTTGGCTGCAAATTGTAGAAGGCCTTACACGGCTGAAGCAATCACCTAGAGTATAGTTTGGACGATTTAGCTAGTTATGAGGAAGCACGATTTCAAACAGAGCAATTACGATCATACTTTACTCTTGAAACATCAACGACATATATTAAATCTATATATTGATGATATTTTAATATCAGAGAATGACAAGAAGGAAATCTCTAGCTTGTAGAGACATCTATCAACTGATTTCGACATAAAATATCCCTGGGGCTTAAAATATTTTCTAGGTATCGAATTAGCTTGGTCAAGTCAAGTATATTTCTATCACAAGGAAAATACATACTTGATTTGCTAGCTGAAACATGAATACTTGATTGTAAGGCTACAAACAAGCTGATGGTTCAGGATCATGGATTAGATTAACACTCGAACCAAATACCACAAACAAAGAAAGTTTTCGACGCCTTGTGGGTAAACAGATCTACTTGTCTCATACATGTTTGGATATTGCTTATGCTATGATATCAGTAAGTCAATTCATGCATAATCCGAGTGAGGATCACATGAATGTAGTGCTTCTAATTTTACGATACTTGAATCTTCTATAGGAAAATGACTAATGTTCAAAAAACATTATCATCGAAACATTGATGGATATATGGATGTTGACTGGGTTGGAAGTATTACTGATAGAAAATCTACATCAAGATATTTCAAATTCTTGGGAAACAATCTAGTCACTTGAAAAACATGAAACATAAGGTAGTTTCATTGTCTAGTGCAAGGGTTGAGTTTATATGCATGGTTAAAGGACTTTGTAATCCTCTTTGGTTAACAAGATTACCAAAAGGAAACATCAGATTCTACAATGAATATGACTTGTAATAATAAAGCGGCTATTGAGATTGCACAAAACCAATTTAGCATGATCGAACAAAATATGTTGAAGTGAATTGGCATTTCATCAAGGAAACACTTGAAGCCAAGACAGTTCAATTTTCATTTGTAAAATCAGAAGATTAGTTGGCCGATATACTTACAAAGGCTTTCTCAAGTGGGGTATTTTATAACTCACATCTATGCACGAACTTAAGCAGAAGTGTTGGCACATGAGTTGTAAACATATATTTTTTTTAGTAGAGATTACATGGATTCTTTTCTATTTATAGTAGAGAGATTACTCGGATTCTTTTTTATTTCTGGTTCCACTAATTATGAAATACTAGTAATTCCTTCCTAGAATAGATTTTTGTTCGTTTTATATAAGTGTCCTATTGTATTTTGTGAGATTAATGAAATAGAAATGGACTCGCCCCCACCTCGGATGAGGCAAGCTACAATCGAGGTTTCCAGCTTAGTAAAGTATTTTTAAAGCACTGCTTCAACTTCCACACTACTAAAATTTTCCCCCACCCCCGAGATAATAACATTTTTGGACCTATCTTTAATTTCACAATATCAGACATGATGAAACACCGCAACATCACCCTTGGCGAATCGATTCATTAAAAAATGACTTTGAGTTTTTGCTTTTTCATCCTTCGAATATCCCTTCATGATGTTACTTCCTCGGAGAAAAACGTCACCTATTGTTTTACCATGTCTTTGCAAACTTTACATTGTCTTTAGGTCCTTTACATCTGCATCCACTACTGTCAATACACTGATTTCTTGCGTAGCTTTGAGCTTCACCTGTGCCTCCCTAGGCAACTCGTTTTCCCTCTTCCACTCGCACACCATTGCACGTCCATTGGCTTTGGTTATGCCATAGGCATGCTCCATAGGAAATACAATTTTTTCAATCTTCTCAAGAAGGGATGCCAGTGATGGAGCACAACCGGTGAGTATTAACAGAAAAGTAGTTATTTGGATTTGTTCGTGTGACTTGGCATCAACGAGGATGTTTGAAACAGTAGGCATAGCACGTGTGTCACTTTGGTTGAAGCTATACTTTTCTACATTTCTTCGGCTGTCATCTTGCATATGTACAAGTTGGTGCGTCCTTGGCGAGCAATACCCCAAGTGAATGTCTAGCCATTGCAATGGAACATAGGAAGTGACCATAAATAGATAGGTTATGTTAAAGTATGATGAACAGAAAGGTAATTGCCGACGAGGCTTCTAGATGAGGAGGAATGATTTGCCTGTTCAGCAGTGTGAACATGGACTAGTATTTCCAGAAAAAAGTTGGGATCACAAGAATATGGAAGAAAAGAAAATGAAAGGATCTTCTGGAATTGACAGCTGAAATTTCCATTATGAATTTTATACAACTTGCTAAAAATAGTTTAGCCACCGACATATGAATGATTAGAATATTCTTTTGTGAATGTTTTATAGGCAAGGCCAATTGTACAAATATATATACAAGGAAGGAATGAGAATGAAATAAACAATTCCTCCATCATTTTCTGCTTCATCTTGATTGCACTTGCAATCAAAAATAGGACGTGCATAAAGTTATAGGCTAATTCACTCTTATCTCCCAGCCTAAAGTTAAGCTCAAAGTGCTTAAATAAGCCCCATGTGGCTGTATGCAACTCCTTTAGGCTCTGATGTCATCCCTGATGTACAATTCAATGCGATTAGATCCACTCATAATTATTCTCTTCAGGAACATCTCTTGGATTGCCTTGAAATATTAGTTACTTGTACTTGACTCGCCTAGTCGAACAACAGCCAGGGAGTCAATACATCAACGACAGCAACCAATATCATTGAACTATCATTTTTCAAGTCAGCCATCAGAATACATAAAGCATCACGTGCAAGAGACATCTAATCATAATCGATAAAGAAAACCTTTGTTTAGGAAATCCTGAGGATGGTAGAAATGTTATTAGCATCTATCCTTGTGTTGATGGAATTTGGAGCAGCCTGCGCCAACAATTAGTTTACCGAGAAATATGAACAAAAATAGAAAATGCGACTCAACATGCCACTTAATCTTGGCTATTCACATACAAAAGCCAAGCAGAGATAATAGTGACCATTGTCCACTACTTATGTCAATTGAAAAATGGAAATGCAACTGCCTTTCATCATTTCGATTTCAAAACATGTGTATATAGTACCATCAATTTTACTTATTTGTAGCAGATTTTTTTTTTAATCCGGTTACAGAACAGGGGGCTGATTGGTTTATGGAGAAAAATGGTCAAGTTAAAGGCTAAAATGGTAGAATTAGCAAATTTTCAGGAATATCTTTGATGCAGTCAAACACACGGAACATGAAGTCCTCGTTAGAGAACAAATTTGTACTCCAACTAGATGTAAGAGTCCATTCATGAGGCAGATGCCAAATATCACCAATTTTTGGCTTTTAAAGAAATGTTATGGAATCAAAAGGTCAGAGCTAAATGAATGAATGAAGAGAACAAAAGTACAAAGTGATTTCACAAAATTATACAGAAACGTAGAATGAAACCAATTATCTACCACGGAAGATGAATAAAAAGTTGAACATCCTGATGGCATAAAATTAGTCGGCTACTGGTTATTTTCAGGAGCTTTTTTCAACACAACAGTTGGAGACACCTCCAACAAAATTCGATCTTGTTCTAAAACTAATTAGTGAGCAAGATAATATGATGTTGAATGCTTCTCCTACCATGGAAAAACTAAAAAAGTTACTTTCAGTTTAAATCAAAATAGTGCAGTAGGTCTTGATGGGTTCTTAGCCGCATTCTTTCAATCATGTTGGGATATAATGACTGAACATTTGTTCATAGTTGTATCTAAATTCATTGAAGGGAAAGACTTTCCAAGTTCTTTCACTACAACAACTATTATTCTGCTTCCAAAAAAGCTAGGGGTTCACCATTGGAAGGATTTCTGGCCTATAAGATTGTGCAGTGTAATAAATAAGATTGTATTTGTGCAATGTAATGAAAAAGATTGTAACTAAGTTCTGGTAATTCGATTTATTTTTTTCTTCCCATAATTATCTCTCATAATCAAATTAGGTTTGTTATTGAATGCAATATCCAAGATGATATATTATTATCCCAAGAATTATCTTATTCACATATTTTTCTGAATTATATGTATCCGGGGGATTAATTTGGAAAACTAGTATGGAGATGAAAGAACAAACCATTTTTATTGGAAACATTCCTCTAATGAATTCTCTGGGAATTTCTATAGTAAATGGAATATTTAGAATTATGATCAATAATATTGTAAAGCCCTAGTATTTATTACCAATCAAAATTGAACCACAATGAAATTTTGGTCTATACCAGTGCCATAATATCAAATTGGGAAGAGAGATCAAGATTAGGGATTGATAGAAAACAAAGAAAAATTCAGCTGTCTGAAGGGACAAGCACAATCATAGATAACAATGGGTCATATTTATTTATTGAAAGTACTGGACACACTTCTCTTTTACTCGATAACCACTCTTTTCATATGAAAAATATTTTACACTGTCCGAATGCCTCTGTAAATCTTCTGTCCATAAAAAAATTATGTATAGATAATAATTGCTACTTTATACTACTTGGTAGTAATTTTTTGTGAAACAGAATCAGACCAACAAAATAATCAGTCGAGCTGAGAATGGACTCTATCCTCTAGCTAGCAACAAGAGCATCTCAAATAAAATGCATTGCTACTAAGATAAGTTAGGAACCAAGACAACCAAGGATAGTTGGCATAACTGTTTAGGCCACCCTCCGAATTTGTCTTGAATAAACTATTTCAGTCTGGTTATCTTCCCAGTAATGAGTCTTTTACCAAGTCTACATTTTGTGAGTCATGTCCTCTAGGAAAAGCCAAACAAGTTCCCTATGATAGCTCCACACGTCAGACTCAAAGTCCCTTGCTCTCATGCACTCTGTGATCTTTGGGTATCACCTATAGCTTCAGTTGGTGGATATCGTTTTTATGTTCTTTTTATTTATGATTTTTCACATTTCACATTGTTGTATCCCATGGTTCATAAATCTGATGTACTTAATTTTTTCAAGCAATATAAAGCTTTCGTTGAAAACTTATTCTCTTGCAAAATTAAACAATTTTAAATGGGCAATGGCAGTGAGTTTGTCTCTAAGGAATTCAAAAAATATTTAAGTACAAATGGCATTTATCATCTCCTAACTTGTCCCTATACTTCTCCACAAAATAAAGTTGCAAAGAGAAAGCATCGACACATAAGAGAAATGGGATTAACACTTCTTGCAAAATCATATCTACCAACAAGCTATTGGGCTGATTCTTTTCTAACATCAGTCTATCTCATAAATAGGTTGCTAACCAAGGTTTTAAATAATCTGTCCCCTTTTTATGTGCTATATAAAACTGTCCCTAATTACCACCACCTATTCATTTACAATTGGTATCTGATAGTTTTGTTCAGCCATATTGGCTTTATCTCATCATTTGAGTATGACTCATCCTCACATAATCATCCTGCCGAGACTTTCCCTCATTTATCTAGCAACCTAGTTTTATCAATTAAGTTCAAAGTTCTTAAATAAGCGCCCCCCCCCCCCCCCCCCCGGTGGCTGTACACAACTTCTTTAATCTCCTTCTGAACCTATACATGTGACTCAACCCCAGCCACTACACAAATAATAACCCGATCCAAAATTGAAAACCTTAAGCCAAAACAGTTCCCTGACTTCAAATTTTTTTTTATCTCCTAAACATCCTCTTTGTGAGTTATCTAGTATTTATCATAAGTAGGAACCGAGTTGCTTTACTCAGGCTATGTCTGTTTTTGAATGGCGGGATGCTATGGGATGTGACTTCGATGCATTAATGGCTAATGGTACATGGTCCTTATGTCCAAGACCACTTTATAAGCATGTAGTTCGAAACAAACAGGTTTATAAAAATTAAAAACAAAACAGGATGGAAGCATAGAGAAATACACTGCACATTTGTTTGCAAAAGGATTTGATCAACGTGATGGAGTTGATTATCATGAGACGTTTTAACCAGGGATCAAACCATGGACTATTCGATTAATTCTGACCTTAGCAGTGAATTTTCATTGGCCAATTCGTCAACTGGACGTCTCTAAAGCCTTTTTACATTGCATATTAGATGAGGACGTTTTCATGGAGCAGTCGAAAGGATTTATTGATCAGTCTCAACCTGATTTTGTTTGCAGGTTACATAAATCTCTTTATATCCTTAAATAGGCTCCAACAGCATGGTTTCATAGGCTCTCTCAACAACTAATTTAATTTGGTTTTCTTGAGTCTTTAATTGACTCTTCATTGTTTGTCTATAGAAAAGGTGACATACATATTTTTGTTCTTGTTTACGTGGATGACATAATTGTGGCACAATCAAATTTTCCAACCATTACTCAGTTTATCGAGTAGCTTTCAGCTTAAAGATCTCAACAACTTGAGCTGCTTCTTAGGAGCGCAAGCATGTCGAAATTCTCATGTTCTTCACTTACATAAAAGCAAGTATATCTCTGATCTTTTATATAAAACAGATATGGCTGGAGCAAAGCCTTTATCATCTCCAACAGTGACTAGCCGTAAATTATTGAATTAGGATGGTAATTTTCTTACTGATCTAAGTCAATACATGATGGTTGTGGGAGCTCTTTAGTATTGTACTATCTCTCGGTCTGATATCTCATATATTGTCAACCAACTCTGCTAATTTATGCATAACCCATGCAAAGGACACTCGATTGCTCTTAAAAAAGTTCTTCGCTAGAAAGGAACGATTGATTATGGCCTCTATTATACACCTTCAGCCATTGATTTAAATGCATACTGCCTCTCCGACTGGGCAGAAAGTCCTGATGACTGAACGAGAAGCAATGGTTATGGTATTGTTTTAGGCAAAAGTTTGGTTTCTTGGAGTGCTAAAAAGTAGAACGTTGAGTCACATTCAAGTATAGAAGCTGAGTATAGATCACTGGCTTTAGAAACTGCTGAACTCTATTTGATGCGTATGCTATTTCAAGAATTGGGAATTGCACTTCAAAAATGTCCAGTGATTTGGTGTGACAACATATGTGCTATTGCTTTGGACTTTAATCCTGAATTCCATGCTCGGACCAAGCATATCAAAGTAGATTATCATTTTAT